TTGAGTCTCCCCAAGGCAATGGGTCTCATGAACTTTATCCTCATCTCAAGTAGTCTCTGTCTGCTGCTCTGGGAAGCTCTGGTGCCAGGAGGGTTACACATTAGCAGAACACCCAAGTTAATGGACCCAGATTAAATGAACAGGCTCAAAGGACTGTGATTTGAGCAAGCTTTTCCCAAATGAGAGTCCAAAGGGAAAAGAATAGCTACTCCACCTCCAGGTCAGCCTCTCTGGGCTGTGGGAAACGGTATATTCTGAGGCGAGCCCACATCACACCATGCACCAGCAGCATCCATCTGCCAGGATTTGGTGTCACAACCTAGGTCAGATGATGGACTCACTGCACTGACGGCATGAGGTGGAGGTCCTGAGACGTGCCTGCAAGGTAGCTGCCTGCACTGGAATGGACATAGCTGCCAAGAGACTCTTTCCTGGGCACTGACTGGCATTTCCTCTGTCCATTTCTTCCTGTCATTATCCTATCAGGGGGGTGACAATTAAAATAGGTGGAAACAGAAACCTCCCGGTTTGTGGGCAGCCTGATTGTAAGTGGCATATCATTCACCACTCCCACCAACCTGCTCTCTCTTGCTAGGGCTCCAAACCCCACAGCCATCTTGCTTGCTGGAAGGGAAACATGAGCCCTTCAGGGAAATATCCTGAGCTGGGGACCATCATGCAATTACCTTGGTTAAATTCATCCCAAGAGGGGCTGAGCAGACACATTTCCCACTGATCTCAAGGGAGTGGTGGGTGCTTAGCACCTCTCAGGATTTGTCCCTGCATTTGCACACTCAGATTTCTTATTTTCTGATTTCTGAACATACTTTGCTGACCTTCCCCAACTCTAAAACTTAGCTAAGCAGAAGGGGTGTGTCCGGAGCCTCTCCATCCTCATATGCACTGAGTGCTCTCCGCTCCCGCTGGCATCAGGACCAGGACTCTGCCCTTTCCCACTGTGAAAATACACCCAGCACATTAAGGAGACAATCCTCTCTCTCAACAGTGCCTGAATGAAAACACTGAACCACAATTCCCACTGGGCTGAGGCTGGTCACCCAGGGGAGAGGTGTGTGAAATCCCACTAAAACTCACCTCCTCCTAGCACAGGAGATTTTGTTTTCCAACTGAGAGAGAAACATCCCCTGGCTAACGCAACAAATGCATCTGACCCCAGATCAGTAGTGAGGAGGGAAAGGGAAATCTAGATGCCAAACTCACCTGCTACCACACCCAGAAATGAAACTGCAAACAGATCAAGCAAGGAAGAAAATTGTTTTACCTGGAAAATGATGGGAAGAAAACATTTCCCCCACCCATCTGCAAACAATTTCCCAATTCCCAGACAAAGTAATTTCAATCCCTATGATTCATAACAAGCCTTCAAATTACACACCAGCCACTATACCATACAGAGCGGTACAGTCCAGCTAATTACTGAACTCATCCATAAGTCACTGTTCTCCTGTGATTCAGGACATAGTATTTATACACATTCACGGGGTGGGTGAGGGTTAGTACTTCGATCCTCACTGGGGCACAAATGACAGGAAAGATCATTGCTTAGAGAAGACCCTCTTCCTTTTTACACGATATAGTTCATCTCTTGCAAGAGAACAAGCCAAGCCATGAGCAATAATCAACTACCACCTGTTCCATGTTTGCACATGAATGGTTTATAGTACAGCAAACTACTCCAATAAATTGGAGGCAGTGTTGTCCATGGGGGACTGGAAGTCAGGACGTTTTGGATTTATACCAAACTATGTTAAAAACTTGCTCTGTGGCCTGGGGTAAAGTTAATTCATTTCTCTGTGCCCCAGTTTCCCCAGATGTAAAACGGGTGTAATAACACTTGACCCAGATCTGTGAAGTGCTTCGAGGTGTTCCGACGAAAGGTCTTATGCAAGCACTAAGCTTTCCACTTATTTGAAAAGGAGCTTTTGATTTACACCTTGGGGAATGCTGTGCTGTTTAAAGAGACTGAACACCATGCCCTAGACAGTTTTTCCACAAGGGGACAACAGCCACGGTCAGCAGGTGTCATCTTTAATGTGTTGTCAAGAGTCTGGTGCAAACTACCTGATGTATATATGCTGCTTGCTGGGAAGGGGTGAGAAGCTTCTGCAGCAGACTTTACAGTTGGGAAAAGTAGCAGTAATCAAATCTCAGGTGAACTCTTAACCACAGCTATGGTTACTAATGGGAGTGGAGGGGCAGTTTAGAGGCACCTATGCTAAATTAAGATGAGAAGGATAACAGAATTACAGCAGCCATCACCCTAGCCCTTCTCATCCACGGGCCTCAAAACAATGTATGTGAGTTAATCCTCACACTCCGCCTCCCTTAAATTAAGGTTGATAAACAGGGCTGGATTAAGGCACAGGCATGAGAGGCCAATGCCAGGGGCCACGGGCTCTGGGAACCAGGCTATTCCTGTTGAGTACAGCAGGCCCAGCCCACACAACCAAGCAGCTAGCCCTGTACTTGCCCAACAGCCAGAGTGTGTCATCCTGGAAAAGGCTAAGGACTAAAGAGGAAACAGAACAATATCCCTCAAATTGCCTATACACAGAAGAACTTCCGTGGAAGACCCTATATGTTTGGGCCAAAGGTTTTCCAGAGCGATTAGTGATTTTGGATGCCCGACTGGACACACCATAAAGAGGCCTGATTGTTAAAGGCCAGATGGCTCAACACGTTCTGAAAAACAGCCCCCTTTACAATGTCTCAAGCTGGGAAGCCAAAGTCTCCAATGAGTTTTGAGAATCTCTGCCTTTTCACTCTACTTTGAAGGCTATGGATCCCCTTCCCAAAGAAAGGTCACTTTTCATTTGTAGAATTGTAGGCTTTAAAAATTACTTTCCTCAACATTACAAGTCTTACATCCAAGCAGTGAGTTTTCAAATTTAGGGTGCACATGTTGGGATTCAAGGGCCCAAACACCTGTTCTAGGTACTCAAGGGCCTTTAGGTCGGCTTATCTGGAACAGTGGATGCTCTGATGTAAGCACTCTGATTTGAAACTCCAACTTCCAAAGACAGGGGCTGCTGCTCACCTGTTTTATATCCCATTTTTACTAGCTGTAGGTAGAAGGATTTGCCCAGTGGAGTCTAGCAAGCTGCTTCAAGTGCCTTATAAAAGCAGAAGCAATGGCATTATCTTCTAGAGTTCGAACAGGCATCCGTTTCCCATGTTTGGGTCTCAAAGACTGTCTGAATCCACCACACGGCCCACCCAGGTCCGTGGTTTGACTGCCCCACTGCTTTTCCAAGCAAAACAGAACTTGCCTGGAACATTTCCCGGTGCAGTTTAAATACCACATCCACATAGCAGAGGTCACTATAATCCCATTAAGGCGGGGCACCAGGCCGATTATGTGCATCTAGTGCTTTAAGCCGATGAGGTACATTCACCCCCCTACTAATAAGGTCACATGCCACGTTACACAGGATAACAAACTTACTGCATGCCGCTTAAGAAACCCAGATGAGTTCTACTGAAGAGTGACGTTGTCTTTAATTTATATTTAAAGGAAATAAAAATAAAAACAACAAAAAAAACAACCCATGCCCTCCAACTGCTCCCACCACTTCTCTTTATCACTAAATCTCCACTAGGAATCCTTCATTCGAATTTCCTTTTCCTGGTCATGAGCCCAACCCATCAAGTCTTGGAAGGGTGGTATCCACTACTATGAAAGACAGTACTTAATAGGTGAGAGCCACACCCCACGCTTGGTGTATCCAGCCAGAATTGTTTTGCTGGTGTCTCTCCTCCCCCAGCTTGTTTGTTGCATCCTCTCCAGCCGTGCAAGTAGGCCGGTATGCTCTGGTACGCCTTACCAGCGTGCTGTAGCCGGTGTGGGGTACCAGAAAGACACTGCAGCAGCCCCGCCGGAGGAGAGGGCTGTGGGGCGGGGCTGTGGGTTCTGCTCCTTTCCTTGCTGGGAGAGGCAGCAGCGGGGAAAGGAGCAGAACGCTGTCAGCTCCGGCAGCTGTACCACCCCCCCAGCCTCACCCCCACAGCCCTATCTCCTGTGGAGCAGGATGAGGACAGAGCCTCCCCCCAGCCCCGGGTAACATGGGATGGATGTCGGGAGGGAACAGGGAGAACACGGGCTGGGGCGGTGAAGAGTCACGTGGGAGAGGTCACGTGCCCCTTTAGCTGGTGCCCCGCCCACTGGATTTTACTTGCACCACTGGCTGTAACCTACAGTATGTCCAGGCTACAGTGGTTCAGCGATGGTGCTGTGACCGTACCACTATAGCGTAGATGCACACTAGGTTGACAGGAGGGGTTTTTCCATGGGTGCAATTAATCCATCGCTCAGAGGCGGTAGCTAGGTTGACAGAAGAATGTAACTTTGTAACTTCCCTTGCCCTAGCTGCATCTACATTGGGAGTTAGCTCAACTAACTATGTCAAAGAGAATGCAACATTTTTCACAGCCCTGAGTAACACAGCTGGGTCAATCTAACCCGGTCCATAGCTCTTTGGGGCAGGGATTGTTGTTTAACAAGAGTTTGCACAGTGTCTAGCACGACAGGATCCTAATTCCTAACTGATATCCTCAGGCACCATCATATAATGATGACTGCCCAGCCATTACACTAATTTACCTAAGGGAGGAAACGGGAGAAAGCTGATGCTAAAGAGCAGCAAAAAAAAAAAAAAAAAAAAAAAAAAAAATCCCTAATGGAGAGTTATTAGGCCCACCAAGGGAAGTGACAGAAGCCTCGCCGCTGGACACCCATAGGTTTACACTAGACAATGAACTGGGGATGCACTGTAGGGAACAATCCCGTAGTGTCAGAGGTGGTGCACTAGATGGGTCCTCCTGGGGCTGTTCCACAGATTCCTGTGCAATGGCTTGTGAACACAGGGCTCCCTGTCTTGAGGCCCAGGGCTTGCACTGAGGCCCGCTCCCTATCCCCTCGCAAGGGCAGGCAGCCACCTCCTGGAGCGTTCCAGTGGGATCTCGTCATCGCCACAGCGTACCTGTATGTGAGCGTAGGTGCCGCTTGAGGGCGGTATGGCTGGGGAAGGTGCGGTTGCACTCGCTGCAGATGTAGCTACGCACTCCCGCGTGCACTTCCATGTGCTGCTGCAGGGCAGTCTGCGTCTGGAACCGCTTCCCGCACAGCAGGCAGAAGACGGCCATGTCAGTACCTGGGGAGAAAGGCAGAAATTCTCATCAGCAACCTTTGCCGCAGATTCCTCTGGCATGCTGCCGCTTCTGCGGACAGGATGCTGGGCTAGATGGGCCACTGCTCTGAAGCATTTTGGCCATTCTTTCTTACTTGCGATTGCCCTGTCCAGGCAACATGCGCTCGAACGCAGCACCATTCAACCCAAGGAAACTGTCATAGGAAGGGACAGACCTGAGCAAGCTACTGAAACAGACTAGTGAGAGAGCATCAACTCAAAAGCACTTCGGCACAACCAAAGAGGATGGCACGGATTGCGTCAGGTCAATGCTTCTTGAAGCGCTTGCCAGTCATATTGCACATTAGCTCGTTACCCCTCGACGGCCAAAGCCAGCTCTGTTTATTTCCCTGTAATAACTCTCCCGTTCTGAAAGAGCAGATGAAACGGCTTGGGTGGATTAACAGAAAACTGGGGTGTCGGTTTTGTACTCTCAAATGGAAACCATTGCATACCCATTCCCCATAGCTACCCAATCCCCAATAAAAATGTAGAGGTTAAAGGTCAATTTGAAACTCACTCTATTTTTATTTCCCCGACACATACTCAGTGGAAACTTGACATCTACAGTTGTACCGGGCACTGGAAACTTGTAACACATGGTAAAGCAAATGGCAAGAGTTTTCCTTTGTTGGGTTGCAGAATAATACATGGCAACATTTCCATTCTATTTCTTGAGCAGTATGGCCAAAAACAAAGGGAGAGACTCCAATCCCTTCATATCTGAGCAGATACCAAACTGCACAGCTACACAGCGTGGTAACTATAAGATAGCTATAATGCAGTATCAAGAATGTATTATCACAGTACCCATACCTGATTAAACTGGCTGAGAAGCAAATTAAAAAATAAAGGTTATGAATGTATATATGATGGCTTTCAAATTGAATCAGTTTAAATTGGAAGAAAATAACTTTGTAACGTGCATCTAGAATACGGAGCACAAGAAGTAATTGGGGAGGGGGGGATAAAAAGCACTTAACTTGGGGAGAGATAGCTCAGTGGTTTGAGCATTGGCCTGCTAAACCCAGGGTTGTGAGTTCAATCCTTGAGGGAGCCATTTAGGGATCTGGGGCAAAAATTGGGGATTCATCCTGCTTTGAGCAAGGGGTTGGACTAGATGACCTCCTGAGGTCCCTTCCAACCCTGATATTCTATGAGTCTATGATTCTGAAAGCACCTCATTGGTGATCATGGACCAAGACAGAAAAGTGCTTTTGGTTCATCTTTATCTGACACTAATAATAAAATCTTTACATGAAGATAAAATCCTTCATCCTAAAGAATTCGACAAGACCTTCACATGCTACAAAGGAATAAGTAGCCTGATGAAATGCAGCTATCTGTAAGGCAGCTGGGGAGGGGAAATGTTGGCCAAATCAGGACACCATGGCAAGCTCGGATTCTGACAAAGAATGGCATGAGCTCTTTAGTGTCCAGGCAGAACTGTTCTGAGGGTCTCCTCTGGAAGAGTCACTAGCGGAACATAGATTCTTTCCTCCTGACCTGATGTAACAAGTCTTGGAATGGTCACCAGAAACCTTTTATGGAAATATATCCTCTGGATGATAAATGTAAATAGTGCTGTATATAGCACTTTTTACATTGCAAAGTGATTTTCACAGGGTGGGCCAGTGTAAGTGTCCTCATTTTATAGATGGAGGAGAGAGGGCAAATGACTTGCCCTTGGTCACACAGCAGCAGCAGAGTCAGAAGTAGAACCCAGGACTCCTGTTCCATCCACTGGACCACACATCATGTAGAACAAACACAGGCTTGGGGAATGGTGCAACTAGCTCAGGTGTTTTATGGTGCACCGGATACAGCTAGAAAGACTTCCATCTAAAGCCCAGCCCTGTAACTACAGGCTCGGCAATATCCCTACTCAGATGCCTCCTTTCCCCCTAACTACAAAGTAGCTATTTTTAATAGTTTTCTGCATTCCCTCTCGGACGACAATCATGCTTTGAACACCAGGCCTATACACCTCAGAGATCTAAGCAGGAACTTCTCTCGAGACACTGAGTATCTCTGTCCCCTTAAACCCTGATGTAAGTGGGACCTAGAGACATTGCAAATGGGAGTAGCTCAGAATTCTGCCCTAGAAACTAGAGGGTTGAATGTAATAGAATAACATCTCCATTATTACTTGGGATGCTTAAGAGAAATACAAACAGAAACTAAATCCTATGAACCACACACGATTATAAAGTTGGCTGCACCAACAGAAGAAAACCCCCCCAGATATTTACACACCACCAGTAAAAATATAAGACTTTTGTGTTATTAAACAATTTTTTTCATTTATGCATAGCTGATTGTTCAGAACCTAAGAGTCAGTGCAAATTGTATTATGCTGGGAGATTAAGCCAATAAATGCTACCTTTTTGGAGACACATTAAAATGTGGGGACTATGGAAATAAAATTATCTAGAAAATTGTATTAGCAATTCATTAGCAGCAGCAAGATGTGCAAGGTAACCACTGAATGTGCATTGCCCTTAAAAAATAAAAAAGCAAATTTTCCGTATTGTATGTGCCAGAAATTAACTCTGCAGGAATATTGTTGCAAGGCAAGTAGCGCCAGGCAAGCCTTCTCGGGCAAAAAAGCCACCACTGCTGCCTGTTAAAAAGTTAACTTGCAGGGCGGGTCAATATACTAGAGCATGCCTGTGCCAAAGCAGCAAATCTGTTCCGACTGCTGGTACAGATGGCTGGGTAGAGGCAATCGAGATAGGAACAAAGCAGCAAGTTTCCATGCCAGGCATCAGACAGGGCTGGCTCTGCATGCTTAGAGGGAATGCTGGCAGGGGAGGTCCGAGAAAGCAGGATGTCTGAAAAGACAAAGCAGGATGCGCCACTGCAAGGACAGGAGCTGTTGTCCTTGACAGACTGCTCAGAGAGCAGCCCACCTGAGTGTGAAGGGTTGTCTGTGGGTGTCAGAGTCAGGTCTCCAATCTCTCTGAGGAAACCACGGTAGGTAGTAACTAGAACTGCTGGCCTAGGAATGAGGGCAACAGTGACTAACGCATTGTGAAACAGACACCGGACAGCCATCCTGGTTTGTAACATTGGGATAATATTAATGATAAATCAGACTGCACCATGCATATTTCAGTACCTTTCACCTGTGGATCGCCAAGTACTTTGCTAATGTTAAATAGGCCACACCTCTGTGAGGGTGGCAGGAACACTTATTTTGCAAATGGGAAAACTTGAGACCCGGATGTTCCCATATGACGACAGTCAAGATGTGAGTAATTGGCCCATAAATAGCAAGTTCTGAATGCTAGTCCTTTTCTCTCATCTCTAGGGAACACTCCCCCTCCCAGAGCCAGGACCAGAATCTAGGAGCTCTGTCTCCTGTTCCTTGTTCTAACCAGACACTGCCATCAGTTAGTTATTTAAAAAAAACATCTGAAGTAAATGAAAACTTACCAGTTATATCACTGACAACAATATAGAATTTTATCAGTGGCCCCCGGCAAGAGAAGGAACGCACTGTACAGGTCTCTAAGCTTGACTTGAATGGCAGTGAAGGCAACAGAAATGCTAATTACTGGTGGAAAGTTGTGATTTCATTAAAGAGAAGTCATCCTGTGCTCACTTAAGGAAATTATGCTTAAATCTAATGGATTTTTAAAAATCAAACTACAGGATGACAGGCAGAAGGAACTGTAGGGACATAAATTTAGCTGTTAACATTTTGGTGCTCGTTTATCCTCAGTTTCCCCCTTGAGCACAAAGCAAATACATGGAATTAAAGGATGCCCAGGTTAAAGCTGTACTTTTTACCGTGCGTTGTACTATCAACTCCCTTGGTTGTACTCAGAAATTTCTGGGGTCTCCTACTAGTGGTTGATTTTCAGCACCCTGGGAGAAATCCTGGTCCCACTGAAGCTAATGACAAAGTTTCTATTGAAAATAATAGGGTCAGGATTTCATCCCTTATATTTAAATCTTAAGTATTTTTTGGTCTATAATTCTTGTTAGGTCATCTAGTGTCCCCCTTGGTTGCAAAAGCATTGTTCCCTAGAGTATATGTGATTACTTTCTTAACGCTTTTCCTATCGTATTATGCAAGGAAACCTTAACCCAGAAATCCTTTGCTGTGGTGGGTTAAATTCAGGCAATTACTCCCCAACGTGAAATGTAATTTTGCACAGGGGAAGGTGCATGTGTGCACACTGCATTGCCAGGCCTCAGGACATGGGGACCTCTCTTTCTGGAACATGCCTCCTGCCTCTGATCTCCAGGGGGAAAAATATTGAAGGAAGGGAGTCCTACTTGTTATCCATTGAGCTTGTCACAATGCCCAACCCATTCCTGTATCCCACTGCCACTGCTCCAAGAGAGACCTGGGACTCTTTAACAGTGCTCGCCTGTGCTCTGTGTAGCCTCAGATTCTCACCAGAGGAAGGCACTAAATTCACCCACAGAAAATACTTAAAATAAAAAAAAGAACGAAGTTTAGTTTGAGGTGAAGCCAGGGGGCTGTCAAAAAGGCAGAGGAGATTTCACTGCACCCGGGTGACGTTCTGGATCATGAATCACAACAAAATCGCTATGTTTATACCTGTGCCGCTTCCATACAAATTAGATCTTGAAGGGAAGCAACAGACAGCGCGAGAAAGCTGAACACAGCTGGAGAAGATTTCAGGTGCAGCACCTTTTCCAACACAAGGCTCTTATTATCTTGAGCTATAAGCGTTTCCCTAATCAAAGGAGCAGAGGCTCTAAATATACAGTGTCTTTTTTGGTAACAGTACAGCAGTTAGCACGGGCATTAGAGAACCACAGAAGGTGTCGGCAGACCACTGAATAATCATAAGATCGTGGCTACATGACTCTGACTTTCCAATCATAGCTGGTGTCCTATCGAACTCTCTACCGTAGGGCTGGCTCTCCTATTTGTCAGCAAAATAGGTCCCCTCTGAGAGCCTGCATTCATGTTCATAGGATAT